TCCGGGGTCGGTTAATTGGTACCAGACTTGTCTGGGAGGATAAAAACACTGACTTGTACATCGGCTGGCCCCCGCAAGTCATTGTATAGGCCACATCGCATTCAAACGCCACTACGAATGTACAAATGGAAGTAGAATGCGTGCCGCATCCCAAAAAGGGATTGATCAACGGCAAATGCTTTATCCTTTATCCTTTATTATTTATCTGTTTCGTTCTAACACCCTACGTATGTGCAGCGGATCGTTCAGTGTCTCGAATACCAAGGTAGGCATCGGCAGTTTTTTACTCAGAGCGACGGCCTTTTCATTGATTTTGTGTGTCATTTTTTATATGAAAAAAGCATTGCGGTAAAAGTTACGCCCACATTCGCGTCTTGTCTCTCACATAGCGTTCTGCTATAAAAGTGCCATAGCGGCCGACGTAAGCAGGATAGCACTTCGCCTTTGCATTGCTCCATTCTTGCAAGCAATCAACCCCCGGAACTGTATCTCATTCTCATTCGCTATAATGGATGACAAAAAGAAACTGCTCCAGGCGCAACAGCTCAGACAGTTTGCATTTTTTGGCATCACTGTGGCAACAATTGCTGCCCTAACATCGATTCTAGCAGTGCCAATGTTGTGCGTCCACATGCAGAATATTCAGTCTGGTCTCCAAGAAGAGATGAAATACTGCCGTTTCAAGAACGACGAAATGCGAAGTGAGGTCCGAAAGGTTAGTTCGCATGCATCATCAAATCTCCCGTAATCTTTTCACAAAGCAAAATTATCTTTTGATATCTTTCTCGATCAAGTGAGTGTTTCGAAATGATCTTACAGCATTGCCACAACTGAGCATTTTACAGCTTGAAACGGCTCGCATAAAACGCCATGTTGCCAGCTCATGCTGCTCATGTGGTATAGGACCCATGGGGCCAATGGGTCCACCGGGAGCGGAAGGCGAACCAGGAGAAGATGGCCATCCTGGTAGGCCTGGAACTCCTGGACCAAATGCCGAAGAGAACACTGCAGTTCCAACAGCAGACGACTTCTGCTTCATTTGCGAGCCGGCACCTGCAGGAGTGCCGGGTATGCCCGGATTCAAAGGACCTGCTGGCCAACCTGGTGGTCTCGGAGAGGTTTGTAATAAGCTGTCTTGTTTACTTTTGTTTCTAAATACACGACACTAACGATGTTAATTTAGCCTGGAATGACAGGAATGCCAGGCCCTAAAGGACCACCTGGTCCTAGAGGATTGCCTGGAAGAGATGGTGAACTAGGCGCACCTGGTCTACCGGGACAACCCGGACAAGTGCGAGCACTACAGTCGCCAAACGGCGAGCCAGGACCAATGGGACCACCTGGCCCTCAAGGGCCGAATGGAGCACCAGGCAGTGCTGGACAACCTGGACAACCCGGACAGCAGGGTCAGGAGGGTGATCCTGGTATGGATGGAATAAATGGAGCGGATGGCGAACCTGGCGCCCCTGGACAACCAGGGAACGATGGATCCAGAGGATCTTGCGATCACTGTCCTCCTCCTCGCACTCCACCTGGATACTGAAGAACTGATAAGTGATCAATTTCCACGCAATTACACGCAAATGGCTCAACTGTTCTTGTTTCGGAAGGTTTTAATAAAGAATAAAAAACGAATTGCTAAGAAATAAATACCTGTTGCTCAGCTTTGCATAGTGTGATAGACCAGTTCTACCGTTCTTCGATTATTTTCACCACCTCCAAAATGACGTTTTTAGCTTATTCACCAAGTGGAAATTCGGATAAGTAGCGCATATGGCATATATTTTGTCGATATGTTTACGGCGATGCAATTTTTACAAAAGTTAAATATACTTGACCTTAAGTCCATCAATGATTCAACCACTGTTCCTAAATGTGTCAATGGACTTCATTCACCGCGCTATTACGAAAAAAGACGCTCATGGGCAGACGTTCACCATTTTGGTTTAAGAAAAATTGGATGTCAATTTTGACATCATGGTGAGGTCATTTTGATATCATTATCAAGGTGAGTAATGGGAGAAGTAAAAGAAGTAAAAAAAAAGAAAGCAGCCAAGGTATCTCGGAAATTATGTGCCTACTAATGTTATGCTCACAGGACATGGGCTGAGTGGAGCTAATTATTGTAAATTCTCTAGTTGTTGAGGCGCCGAGCGACCAAAAAATATGGTGGAAAACCGTTCCTTTTGAGTACTTTGCCACAAGTGCCTCCTTCTCTTGGATGTTTATCCACATTGCCTTCTTCTGCAGAAATAATACTTCTCCTTATCCTCTGATCTTTTTAGTTGTAGCTATGGTAAATGTAATTCATTGGCACCGTCAGTTAGTTCACTGCAATTTAGAGTCCTCGGCAGGGTAAACCGTCCGGCGAACTGTTCGAACTGGGGGGGGGGGTCGCGTTTGTGTTCTGGGAGGGGAGAGGGGTTCCCATTGCGCAGTTGTGCTGGTTACGTTTGGTCATTAGCCCCCCCCCCGCTCGACGGACTGTTTGGGGAAAAAGTGGGTGGAGTTTCGGGAGTTTTAGGTAGGTTTTGGGCTGTGTCAACTGGTCTCAGAATCAAATACTATAGAAGAGGGAGAGGTCGCGGTGGGGAAGGCTGGTTGTATTGGGGGGTCGCAACTGTGTGTTGGGGGGTCGCAACTGGACCCCCTCGAGGGGGGGTCGCAAAAATCCCGAAAATGTTCGAACGTGACGGTTGACCCTGGTCCTCGGGCATCTCCTTGTTTCATAATAATATTCAAAGCGATGCCTCTACCAACTCCACATACGAAACGGGAGATAGGCATGATAGGGAAGCGTACTTTTATAAACGCCGTCATGATTCTGGTGCATACTTGGATATTTGGAATAACTTTCGGATATGTCATCATGAAAAATAGCCATTTAACCTAGTACAGGGTGAGCAATGCCACTCCACATACTTCCAAAGCGCTTATAATCACGAAAATGCTAAAAATATTGGGTTGTCTCATAATTCCTGTCGCATTTCTATTCAATTTCAAATTCTTCCGTCTAAGACCGTTTCATTGCGAAATACGTTAGTATGTTGAAGTATGCTTCAAGAGCCTTAACAGCATGGTTTCGGAAGCGCAAGCCCTTAACGGGTTAATCAACTAGGAATAAAAATAGGTCAGTGACTATAATGAATGATTATGCTTTACGATCCTCAAATGAACTCTGTAGCAAGGAGGACAACAGAGAAGATCAGCGCTGTGTTTGACCCAGTCTCTGCTACTGATAGGGTACTGAGCTAGTGGTCCAATCGCAACGGCAAAGACGAAACGAGCTATGAACTTCAACCTCATACTGGGCCTGCGGTCATTTTTGATGAGCACCCTAAATTGGGAGTGCCTCCGTACGTTGCTACCAGGGTATTGTAGCAGATACCTGAGCGCAGCCGATGCACCAGCACACGCCATCAGTATGGCAAGGACTGCTGCAGAATGAAGTTTTGATGGAAACCTTATGGTCCGGCCGACCATGAGCGGGAAGCACGCCTGACCATCTGGGGAAAATCCATTCTGGGACGGCAAAAGCAGAGCCTTCCCTAATCGGTCACCAGTGGAAATGAGTCATGAGTCCACTGCGACAACAACATGCGGCACGTCTGATGGCTGCCTCGCAGCCAGGAAGCACCAGCTCAACCAAAGCCCGAACTCCGTTTTCTGAGAATATCGCTCTCGTTTTGTTGGATTCGCTAGGTGGCCTGGTTTGGGAACCACTTCAATGTATGAAGACAAGCATTGCTAAAGTCAGCGCGGAATAGCCCTCTAGGCTGGCTTCGGGTTGCGAGGGAATCGTCAGAAACGTCTCAGATTCTCCTTTCTCCGAATGTACGCCAGACCTCACATTGCAATGCCAACTCACCACGTTCTGAGGGAGATAGCCAGGGCCACGATACCTCATCCACCATATAGCATTGGCATCGCTCTATCGGACTATCGCCTCCCCTGCGCCCTGAATAAGCATCTGCCAGAGAAGAAAGTTAAAGATTGCGACCACCCCAAAAACGACTTCTCCAAATTCTTCAACCCCCAGCTTCCTTCATTCTGGGCAAATGCACGCCTATCAGTGACCATGATGGTGGTTATTTCATTGAACAGTTGTTTCCTAGAAGTAAATAAAAATAAGATAAAGAGATAAATCTTGGATAAACAAGTGTCGAAATTGCGACAAGAATTATGAGACAGCCCAACAAGTAGCATCCAACAGCTTCAACGTAGTTTTCACATCGGAGTTCTTCAACCATTCTTTTTATTTTTATTTATTTTATTCATGCGTGCAGCTGACGCGCCTATAAGAAAAAAAAACAATAGAAAACACTGTGGTTAGTCAATGAGGACGGTAGCCCTATTATCTTAATGTAACTTTTTAAAATACGGTATAAAGGATTCCTGCAACCCTATTCCAATTTACAAAACAACTTTATCGCTCGTGTCAAAATGCCGTTTTCAACTTGAGAATTGCAATAAATCTCGTTCCTCAACATCTACGTTCTGAAATAATAGCCAGTGAAAATCTGAACGGAAGCCTGTACATGTAGGACAACGTTTATGAGACCCAATGTTCCGTCTCCTTACTTGGACTCATATCGTCATGTGCAATAAAACCTAAAGCACTCTAGGAAAGTACGAATTTAACCGTATTCTATGCATACGAAACGGTCTTCTCCCGCAAAAGAAAACTTCTATACGGAAGTTTTCTCTCAGGATTGTATTCACCAGTTGGCGTATTTGCGATAGATTTTCTCTCCTAAGGAAGCTCCCCTGATGGTAGGAAAGGGCCTCCCACTAGCGATCATATCGCAATATCTTGTGAACTTCCTTTGCTCCGATTCCTTTAAAAATTAAGAGCTCAATGACGATAGTCTTCACGAAACTTGCATGAGACCATGGAAGACCTCGATGTTCACAGATATATTACAAGCTATAGGAACGCAACAAACCAGTGCAAGTGTCATTGCCTTTGGATCACCCTGTAGCTCCATACGTGACTCCATGAGGATGAGATATAAGACCAATCTCGACCAGTTTCGTTCCGTGTTGCACTGCAAATACGCGCAGTTATAGATGGTATCGTGTTGCATCTTCGAAGTAAGTTTGACACAGACGACTTCTGCGAAACTCAACTTACACAAATGAACGCAACTAAACTAGTCAGCTCAGAACCGCTCGCCAATGATGAAGACCGGCCAAAGCTCAAACACTATTACCTATTTGCTTCGAGCATTGCACTTCGAACAATATTGCATTCACTAGACAACGGAGGGCAAACAAGAAGATTTTCTCCTCATGATACGCATTTGCATGAAGACATAGGAGTGAAGGTCGACGGCCGGCAACTACACCACCTTCGTTTTGCTGACGACATCGTTCTTATAACGCCGAACATCGAGCAAGCGGAGCGAATGCTGGCTGATTTCGACTGCGCCTGTGGTAAGGTTGGTCTGCAGCTGAACCTAACGAAGACGATGTTTATGAGAAACGGATTGGTTCCTGATGCCCCATTCACGCTCAACGGAACGAACATCACCGAATGCTCCAGCTACGTGTACCTAGGTCGGGAAATCAATATGATGAACGATCTAGCTCCAGAGCTGAGCAGGAGGAAACGAGCGGCTTGGGGAGCGTACAAGAACATCGAGGGAGTAGTGAAGAAGACGAAGAACATCCGGCTCCGTGCCCACCTCTTCGATTCCGCTGTCCTTCCTGCCCTAACCTACGCCTCAGAGACTTGGACTCTGCGCAGGCAGGACGAGCATGCGGTCAGCGTTATCCAACGCGCTGTCGAGAGGACGATGCTAGGAGTAACCCTATACACGCAAGTGCAGAGGGGAATCCGGAGTGCCGAACTACGCCAACGATCGAAGATCAGGGACGCTGCCGTTTTCGCCAAGGAATCGAAGATAAGGTGGGCCGGACACGTCATGCGATTTTGCGATGACCGTTGGACCAGAGCGGTTACCGACTGGATCCCTCGGGACGTCAAACGAACACCTGGACGACCGCCGGCCCGATGGTCAGACTTCTTCACGAAAGCTCTGAACGAAAGGAATGAAGGACTTCGTGTCCCTCGAGCGAGGAGGAATGGAGACGTTGCTGGCGCCCGACGAGCAATCGACGATCAACGGACGACAGGTTGATCAGTGATAACAATTTGGCAAACTTTTCTAGGAAGTAATGGTTCATCGCTATAGAAGAACTTATAAACGCAATGTGTTTCTGAAATTTGAAATCATCCGTGAGCAGAAGCACTCTCGCCACTTTGATCTCACAGCATAGAAGGATCGCCATCGGGTTCAAGGCTGCCTACATTTATTGCTCCATCCATTTATCTACCCAATTGCTAGTATGATAAGCTCAATCATGGACGTTCAGTGGTTCTGACTACGCGGTTCCTTAGCTGTGAACAGAGAAAGTCGTAATTGTTCATTTGGTCGCAATAACTCGTTGACGTCATACCTTGTGCCAAAAGAGGGGCAAGGGCCAAAATTGACGTGGCCCTTGTAAAAGGCAATTCTGAAGCTGTTTTGCATGTGCTCT